TTTTTTTTTTTTTTTTTTTTCCTTCCCCCCTTTAAGGTTTAGCTGAAGGCCTTGTGGCTAACATGCAAATCAGGGCTTTCATTCGCCTGCTTTATCCGTGGTGATATTATGGTTCCCTTTGAACCCGCGCTGTGTCTGGGTGCCAGCCAGCCCCAGGAGCAGGTCCCCTCTCCCTGCCGAGCTCCCTGGGCCGGGGACAGGCGCTTTGCTCCTGCCATGGCAGCCTGCTGCACCAAGGGGACGAGGGGTGACAAACGTGTCCCTGGGCTCTGGAGGGGGGGAGCGCTGGCCTCGTGCCCCTGTGCTGAGGCTGCGAGGAGAAGGAGGAGGAGGAGGATGTTGTGGGTCCCCGGCGGAGCTGGGAGCAGGACGGGGTGATGGCCGAGCTCCCCATGTGCTCCCTGGGAGGGGATCCCCACTGCAGCCCATGCTGCAGCTGGAGGCCGGGCTGCGCGGGGGAGAAGGAAGGGGTCCCTCCTGCGGTGGGGGAGAGGGGGTCCCTCCCGCGCACCCTTCTCCTCCCCGTCCCCTCTGCCCCGAGGGTGCAGGTCAGCAGCAGAGCCCTGCGGTACCCGCGCCATGTCCTCACTCTCTCCTCCCCTCTCCCTGCCAGGTTTGCACGTCTTGGCCGTCGCCTTCGCCCTGGAGGTGTCGGTGGGGAAGACCAACACTGTGATGGCTCTGAATAACTCCAATGTCCTGCTGCCCTGCATCTTCACCACCTGCATCGGCTTTCAGGACCTGGTCTTCACATGGTATTTCAACATGACAGAGCTGGTGGGTTGCTCTCTGGGCTTTGCCTGTTTTCCTGGCATGTCCTTTTGTACTTTCCCAGCACTGCAGGTCTCGCGGAGTTCACTTCCTCCTCTTGCAGGACGGCTGCTCCTCCGAGTGTCTCTTGCTCAGGGGGACGGGGCTGTGCAAACAGGGTCCCTCAAATGCACATCTCTGCTTTTGGCACAAAGCTGCTCTGGATTTTCTGCTGCCCACAGGCTCGTTTCTTTTCAGAAATTGGTCATAGACTGGCTGTTCGGCAAGTCTACACTTTGGGCAAAATATGGTTCATTTTCTCTTCCTGTGCTTGCTCTGAAATACTAAAGGTTCTGTACAGATTTCCTTCCTGCTGGGAGGGAGGGCTGGGTGAGGGCAGGCCTGTCCTTGGTGGCCCTAGAGCAAAGGGACTCTGCCCGGGGTCCTCCCACCTTTCGCCTGGTCTGTGACATCGCTCCGCTGCTTCCCGGGGGCTGCGTGTCAGGTCCCCGCCGCGGCCACCGTGGCTTTGACGGGGCGTGCTGGGACGCTTGGCCCGGGGTGTCTGTGCGTGCGGGGCCGGGCACCGGCGGGAGAACCTGAGCCTTTCCCTCAGCGGGGGCTGGCAGGAGCCCGGCTGACCCCACGTCCCCGCCTCTGCAGATTTACCACGGCAAGATAAAGAGCAAAGCCTCGGAGCCCATCCTCGTGGAACGCAACCCGCGGGTTGAGTTCGTCGGCTCGACGACCGGGAAGGACAACAACATCTCCATCGTCCTGAAGAACGTGGAGTTCAGCGATGCTGGCAGGTACACCTGCCACGTCAAGAACCCCAAGGAGAAGAAGGCGCAGCACAACGCCACCATCATCCTCACGGTGGTCCAGAAGAGTAAGTGCGGGCTGGGGCAGCAGGGACACAGACCCCCCCGACCCCACCTTGGCTCACGGCTGTGCCGCTGCCCGGGGTGTCCTCGCCTCTGGGAGGCGGTTGGCATCCCCCAAGGGGGAGGCTTGGCCTCGTGCCCCTCTGCGGTGGGCTGCTGGAGGGGGCTGCTGCTCTTCGTGGGGGGGGGTCTGTGCATCTGGGTGCTCCCCGCTCCCCTCCTGAGGCCCCTCAGCACCTTCTCCCCTGCAGTGGTGGAGGCAGACAACACTGTGACGCTCATCATCGTGGGCATCGTGGGGGGGCTCATCGGCCTCCTCATCCTCTTCATGCTCGTCAAGAGGGTTGTCCTGTTCATCATCAAGAAGACCCAGGATGGGAAGTGAGTGCAGGTGCCGGTCCCGGCACCCTTCGGCGGGTGCTGTGCGGGGCCGGGGTCGTG